AAATATGTATTTCCCTGCCATAGCCTGAGGGACACTGAATAATAACATCTGCATAGTAAGCAGTAATTTACTTATTATTAGTATTATTGTCATTATTATTATTATTATTATTGTTGTAATTATTATTCTAAATAGTAGTGGTACGGGTAGTAGGGGGGATGGTAATGATAGCAGTTTAATGATGGTGGTGGTAGTAGTAGTAGTAATGATGATGGTAGTTGTAGGACTGATGTAATGGTGAGGATGACAGTTATAAGTTAGTTATAGTTTCATTTTCCACGTTTAGCATTTTATATTTATTATTTTTCTACTATTGACTGTTAAAAAAATGTATTGTTGTTTTTATCATTATTTTCTACCATTTTATATTATTCTTTATTATTTTATTACAATGTATATTGTATACATTGTTGCTTTGGCAATATTGACAATGTTTTTCATGCCAATAAAGCAGCTTGAATTTGAATTTGAGAGAAGACAAGAGAGAGAGAAGAGATAGAGAGAGAGAGAGAAAAAGAGAGAGAGCGAGAGAGAGAAAAAGAGAGAGAGAGAGGAACGTACAGTTGCTAACATTGTTTTGATCTGCAGATTTTAGATCCTTTGTTGTTTTGGCCAACTAACAGATACAGGATGCCCCAAATTAAATTAAGGCGCGGTCAGGGGGAGCCTGTTCCATCCCTGCTAGGAATAGGAAGCTGCAAAGTGAGACATCCTGGAGCCCGCTGCTCAGAAGCACCAAAGAGGGGAGAGGACAGCTGTCACCAGCCCAGTCCAGAGCCTCCTGATCTAGGCACTGAGACGGCTCTCGCTGGGCAGTGTCTGTCTTGGCTGAGTAAGATGAAGGAGGAATGGACACCATGTCTAATCTCTAGTCACAGAGGGTGATTCCCTAGAGGGAGTCTCATCCAGACCCAATCTCAAGACAATTGTTTTCTTTCTAACCCTTCCATCGCTCACCTTCTTCTCTGTTATTAGAGACGAGGAACTGTTCCATTCTGGAAGCATCGCCATGTTCTTAGAACATTCTGAAAGAACAGGCTGTGCTTCCATCTCCTAAACAAGCAGTGTGTTCTCCCACCTCCTCCTGTAGCTATGGCAGCCGGCCACAGAGACATACAGCTACATAACGAAGGCCATGCAGCCGAAACGCGTCGGATTTAAAAAAAAAATCTTGTTTCTATTGAACACGCCGTACTAATAAAGGCATTTAAATTAATTATATGAAGAGTGCCTTGGTCCTCCTTTCTTTTTGATGACCAATTCACCCCTTTGACCAAAGAGCACCTTCTGTCTACCAACATTTACTATTGTGTACCTTCAGTAGCACTTCCCTTCCTCCTCTTTCTACATAAGCTGTTGTGATAACACTTCACTTGACACCCAGCATCATAACACGCTCATAACATGTCATAACATGATCATAACACCCATGACCTATATATTCACAGTACACCTGTTGACATATATTTTGTTATTTTATGGAAGGTTATGACACCTACATAAGAACGTCAAAACCCACATTTATTCAAACGTGTTATGACGCTGGGTGTCAAGTGTTACCACTGTTGTCTTATACAACAATCACCCATCATGTTAACTGCTTAGTTTGAACTTATACGCTTAGCACTCATCGTATATTCACTATGACAAGTGCACATTACATACACGCATATGGAATACTTACAGCCAAGTACAGTCAGGTCCAAAATGATTGGCACCCTTGATAAAGATCAGCAAAAAAGACTATCAAATAAATAATACAAATACTGAGCTATATTGTATGCTTCAAAAAAATGTAATTATATTATTTTTATACTAATGAAACTGAAGAAAAATAAAGAGATTTTAACAAATAATTGTTTTCTCAAAAAGATAGTGGATCTTCCAGCAAGACAATAACCCCAAGCACACATAAAAATACACAAAGAAATGTTAATTGACCACAAAAATCGACATTTTGCAATAGCCATCTCATTCTCCGGACTTGAAGAGGGCCGTCCATAAGCGCAGATGAAGGATATCAATGTTCTAAGATCCCTCCCAACGTGTTCTCCAATCTGATACAACATTTTAGAAAAAAGGCTCAGTGCCGTTATACTCAAAGGTGAGGTATTGAAAGGTATTGAAAACAGGGGTGCCAATATTTTTTATCATCTTTGAGGGGGTAAACAAAACATTTCTCTGAGCAATTGTATTAGTATTAAATATTTGTTTATAATGTTTTGGCCTCATTGGACAGGAAAAGGCGCAACGCTCGCTCACAATTTTATTTTGCATGCAATAAAGCCCAGTACTTGGATTATTTATTTCATAGTATTTTTTGCTCATCTTTATCAAGAGTGCCAATAATGTTGGACCTGACTAAACTGTACTTAGTTATTCAGCCAGTTAAGATAATATGGTATTGTGGTGGTTGGTGTGTGGGAGCTGTGTTAGAGGGTAGGCAGGTCTACCATATCAAGTCCAAGACCTCACACCCACCATCTCTGTGTACATTACATAAATGCATTTAGTTACACAACATCTTAATGCCATAGCCTGCAATGAATCACCGTTTTCTGGCTGAGATACAGTTCCTCCTTAAGTAAAATAGCCCACTAAATCTAGATAGCAGACATACAATGCACCATATCAGTTTTATACCTTGATATGTTCAACCAAAGACAAGTAAACAAGATTGTTATTTTAATATTTTTAAAAAATCAATTTACAGTTTAAAAATTTTTTGGTACAGCACTGTGTGTAATTGCAAACCCTATGGAGAAACAGGAATGCAGAAAACAAACTATTTCATAATTGGAATGCAGCCCCATCAGGTGGTTGTAAAGAGAACACAAGTGTTTTTCCACTCACTACAGAGAGTATATGACATTTTATCTCAATCCTTAAGGACAACTCTAGACCCTCTTCCCTTCGCAGAATCTCTGTAAGCATTTTACATCAAGCTCATTTTACATCTAAGATGGCACTCTTTCTAGAAAAAAAAAAAAAACAGTAGAAGAAAGTTGAGCATTCGACTTAGAGAAAAATCAATTTACATGTATATATATATATATATATATATATATATATATATATATTTCTCAATATTTAACCTTAATTTAACTAGGCAAGTCAGTTAAGAACAAATTCTTATTTACAATGACCCCAGCCAAAACCTCCCCTAACACGGACGACGCTGGGCTCCCCAAATAAAACCCGGGTCTGTAGTGACGCCTCTAGCACTGCGATGCAGTGCCTTAGACCACTACGCCACTCGGTCCCCTAAACATGATGTAGCTATTTACAGTGAGGGATAAAATAATTTGATCCCCTGCTGATTTTGTACGTTTGCCCACTGACAAAGAAATGATCAGTCTATAATTTTAATGGTAGGTTTATTTGAACAGTGAGAGAAAAAGAAAAATGCATGTCAAAAATGTTATAAATGGATTTGCATTTTAATGAGGGAAATAAGTATTTGACCCCCTCTCAATCAGAAAGATTTCTGGCTCCCAGGTGTCTTTTATACAGGTAACGAGCTGAGATTAGGAGCACACTCTTAAAGGGAGTGCTCCTAATCTCAGCTTGTTACCTGTATAAAAGACACCTGTCCACAGAAGCAATCAATCAATCAGATTCCAAACTCTCCACCATGGCCAAGACCAAAGAGCTCTCCAAGGATGTCAGGGACAAGATTGTAGACCTACAAAAGGCTGGAATTGGCTACAAGACCATCGCCAAGCAGCTTGGTAAGAAGGTGACAACAGTTGGTGTGCGATTATTCGCAAATGGAAGAAACACAAAAGAACTGTCAACCTCCCTCGGCCTGGGGCTCCATGCAAGATCTCACCTCGTGGAGTTGCAATGATCATGAGAACGGTGAGGAATCAGCCCAATGATCTCAAAGCAGCTGGGACCATAGTCACCAAGAAAACAATTGGTAACACACTACGCCGTGAAGGACTGAATTCCTGCAGCACCCGCAAGGTCCCCCTGCTCAAGAAAGCACATATACATGCCCGTCTGAAGTTTGCCAATGAACATTGAATGATTCAGAGGAGAACTGGGTGAAAGTGTTGTTGTCAGATGAGAGCAAAATGGAGCTCTTTGGCATCAACTCAACTCGCCGTGTTTGGAGAACACCATCCCCACCGTCAAACACGGAGGTGGAAACATTATGCTTTGGGGGTGTTTTTCTGCTAAGGGGACAGGACAACTTCACTGCATCAAAGGGACGATGGACGGGGCCATGTACCGTCAAATCTTGGGTGAGAACCTCCTTCCCTCAGCCAGGGCATTGAAAATGGGTCGTGGATGGGTATTCCAGCATGACAATGACCCAAAACACACGGCCAAGGCAACAAAGGAGTGGCTCAAGAAGAAGCACATTAAGGTCCTGGAGTGGCCTAGCCAGTCTCCAGACCTTAATCCCATAGAAAATCTGTGGAGGGAGCTGAAGGTTCGAGTTGCCAAACGTCTGCCTCGAAACCTTAATGACTTGGAGAAGATCTGCAAAGAGGAGTAGGACAAAATCCCTCCTGAGGTGTGTGCAAACCTGGTGGCCAACTACAAGAAACGTCTGACCTCTGTGATTGCCAACAAGGGTTTTGCCACCAAGTACTAAGTCATGTTTTGCAGAGGGGTCAAATACTTATTTCCCTCATTAAAATGCAAATCAATTTATAACATTTTTGACATGCGTTTTTCTGGATTTTTTTGTTGTTATTATGTCTCTCACTGTTCAAATAAACCTACCATTAAAATTATAGACTGATCATTTCTTTGTCAGTGGGCAAACGTACAAAATCAGCAGGGGATCAAATACTTTTTTCCCCTCACTGTCTACAGACATCCCTTCTGTCAATGTTTAACGGACCAAAAGTCAAGTATGTTGTATTAAACATATAGAGAAGAAGTCTTACTGCACAGGGATAGGTAACATGACTCCACAAAGCAGGGCCAATCATCCTAATCAACTCGGTTTAAAGAGTGACATTGACAAGCGTGTTTGATCCCACTCAGGAATCATTAGGTAATCCAAACAGTTTGACAGTGCCCGACTCTCTATTGCTGTCATACTTCCCTTCCTTGTCATCACATGCGTACGCCAGCAGCGGTCTCTTCGGATGCCAGGCCACTGTGAACGTAGGGGACTCACACTGGACCTCCCACAGCTTCTCTCCTGCAAAAAGACAAAAGAAAGTATAGAGGATACTGAGGAATGATGAACTCAAATTAAAGAGGTCTTTATTCTTGCCGAGGACTATCTGGCATAGTGCGGGGCTTGTTGTGTGGACCGTATGTTCCACAGGGAGCAGAGGGGAGTAAGGGGATTATCCTTGCAAATTCTATTGTATTTTGGTTTCTTGCTACAAAAAGTTGTATTTCCTTTCTTCAACTAACCTGTTTCAACCTCTGCTATGTCTATGAAGTGGTCCTCAGAGGCTGAAGCCAGCATCTTCCCATCATGGCTGAAACTCAACGTCCTCACTGGCCAGTCCAACCTGGAACACATTAACAAGACAATCAGACTCAACGTATGATACAAATACTGATCATGTTTTGGATGCTTACACTGGTTAATTGGGTTAGATGATGATGATGATGGTGGTGATGAGGGATTTGCAATTGCACCATTTGTTGTAGATAGATATCTGTCCATATTTACAGTTTTCAATGTAGACTCACTCACCTGGAGAAACAGCGAACACAGACCATTTCTTCAACGGTCCACAGACTGACCAGGGCGTCTGCACTTCCTGTGGCAAAGTACTTCCCTGTGGGGTCAAACTTGATGCAGATGCAGTTGGAGGGATGGGCGTTGATCGACTGGATGGGCTTCAGCTCAGGGTAACTGAAAACAACATGTCAAAGTTAGGGAGCCGTAATGTAGGTTCATAATTAGCCTATCTATTAGGGGCCCCGTGTAGCTCAGTTGGTATAGAGCATGGCGCTTGCAACACCAGGGTTGTGGGTTCAATTCCCACGGGGGGGGGGGGGGGCCAGTATGAAAATGTATGCACTCACTAAGTCGCTCTGGATAACAGCGTCTGATGAATGACTAAAAAAAAAACTAAACTAAACTACATCACAGGACATAAGATACACATTCTAGTTTGGACAGGACTGTGAATTCTAGAGTAACAGGGAGCGTGGGAATTGGTTTTGACCAGCACCCTATGGGTCCTAGCCAAAAGTAGTGCACTATATAGGAAATAACCTAAGGTGTCATTTTGGATGGAACCAAGGTCTTACCTCAAGATGTTGATGCACCCGTTTCCATTGGTGAGAAAGAACATGTCGTTGTCATTGTTCCATGAGATCTCGTTGACTTCAAACTTAAACTGCTCCTCGGCTCGTGACCGGTGTGATTTGACGTCGATGAAGGTAACCACATCATCCTTGTTCCCAACGGCTATCGTTTGGCCGTCCGGACTCCAGCAGATATTGATGTTTTCCCCTGCAAACAAACATATCGCATAGATCAAGCACTGTTGCCGGCTTAGATCAGAATTAATGAATGCAACGGAACGTTACAGATGGCAAAAAATCAAAACTAAAGTACAAGACTTTGTACTTTTTTGTTGTTTTTGGCTGAAGACACAGCAGATGGATTGGAACTGGAGTGTACCTTTAGTGTTGACAGTAGCCGTGCACTTTGTTGTCCTGACGTCCCAGATGCGTATGGTCTTGTCCCCTGATGCAGTGACAAACACGTCTGGGTTGGTAGGATGCCAACACAGCTGATCAACACTGTCTCCATGGCCTCTGTAGTTGTTCTCTTTCACCTGTAAGGGGTTGACATAGGCAAAAACAGCTAGCAATCAACAAGATGGCTAGCTGTGTGCTAAGGGGGAGGTAGCTGCCACTAAAAGTAACTGTAGCTACTAGCTGTCTAGGCTAGTTGGATCAGCACAAAACATAACATCTAGTTAGCAGGCTCTTCCCTTCGCGGTCTGGTCATAGAGTTAGCAAATTAATAGATACCTGCTAGATATCAAAGTGCGTGTATAATTTGGTGCGCCTGAATGTTACAAGATAAGACTGGCGAGGCTTGTTGTTAGCCTTGCACTAGCATGCGTGGTTCATTCATCACACCCATGCATACTACCAAGCTAGCTAGAAACTTACCAAACGGTCTTTTTCTAAGACAAATACGCTTGCTGTTTTATCAAAAGACCCAGATGCCAATCTCCTACCGTCGCAACTCCATGCTACTGAATGAACTTTAGCGCTATGCGCAGGGAATTCCCTGCTTTTGTTGTTATTTTTGAAACTCTCTTGCATCTCTTGATAATATCTGGACGCCATTTTGGAAGATACTAGCTACCACGTTATGTCGCTACAGGGGTGTTTGATCTAGCTACAGCAATGTATTATGTTTTTGGATTATCATGGGTAATTCGTGGATTATAAAGGAATAATCACCATTGTCTAAATAGTTAAATGTTTTTGATTAAACAGTAAAAACAACATTTATTTTAACAAATATGAAATAGAGCCCCACAGTGGAGGCGTCATAATACCCATAAAACCTAGCGGTCAAACAGGGAAATGGTTCCAATCCACCTGTACAGTAGGTGGCGGAATGCATATATAATTGTTGCGAACGCCATTATACCAAAGAAGAAGAAGAAATGGTTCCAATCGTTTTTGCGCCATACATTTTTCCCATAGGGGATTTTAGAAACACTTAAAATAATGGCTGTGTTTTGTGTAGTCTTAACCTGGCGTGACGTTTTGATAACAATGTAAATCTCTCGCAGACAATATTACTTTTAACAATATATTCGGCTCTATTTACTGTCAGATTCGAAGAAGCTAATTAGCATCAAAGTAGACATCATGCAAAACTACAAATCCCTGCAAGCTCCTGCACGTCATCCTTAGCTGACGCCTTTGCTAACAGGTATCGTGTCAATTTTAAACTTGCACAAGACAGTTCCCAGAATTGACCATTTAAAGAAATGTAGCCAATTTATTCATTACTACATTTAGCTAACATTAGATAGTTAATCCAGAGATTCTTACCTTTGCCTCGATTTGGCAGTCTCGTCCAGATCATCATGGCATTTGTAATTCTTTATGATAGCCACATTAGTAGCTAATTAGCATTTCATTTAGGAGGGTAAATACAGGCAAATATATTGTCACCTTGTCCTAAAGAGATTTACATGGTTATCAAAACGTCACGCCAGGGTAAACCCTTAAATATTCTAATATTAGTAATATATTACACATATAAAGATGGAGAAATAGATTCAACATTTTAATTTTTTTTTACATTTTAGTCATTTAGCAGACGCTCTTATCCAGAGCGACTTACATTCAAGTACAAGTCTTGTCAATTGAATTGTAATTTTATTTCATACAAGTGATGAATGAACATCAATGTAAATGTTTAAAAAAAAACATAACACTTTTAAAATCCCAAACACACAATATCAAGATTCACACAAACTCAGTCTAGTTATTTCCTTTTTGATCAGCTGCTTTCCTGATGAATAAAGATGGAATTGAGAAAATGGTGATCATTGCATCTGGAAAACGAAGATTTCCTTTCATTTTGATGAAAGAAGGCCTCATAGAAATGACTTACAATAGAGTCAATGCTCTCAATGTTGTTTCTATGTTTTTAAGAAACATTTACAATGTCATGATGGGTGTGAGAATGAATGTCCTATGAGCCTTCAAATGTATTTATTTATTAGATGAAGTTGCTGTATCAGTTAAGTTTGCATACTGTTTAATCCAGTTGTTTTAGGTTGTACTGTTTTAGGTTGTATCTGAAAGCATTACCTACTAACATAATACAGGTGGGGAATACATATAGGATGAAATCCAGGTTACAGCAGTAAAGAAACAACGGGAGTATCCCAGCAAATATGAACAAAGCACCTTATACAGCTTGGGAATGTAGGTGGAGGACATTTACACATGTTGTGCCATTGCACGAAGATGATAATATATCATGTTTTTCCCTTTTAAATACAATTTAGGATAGTCAAGAGGCAAGTGTGTCTAATACGAGGTAGACTGAGTACACAAGCACCTAATTCGTCAAGGATGGTAGGCTACTTTGATTGAAACACGTGCATGGCTTTCATTTGCATCCACAAACTGAAACTGAGCTCCAGCTTTAAATCGCAAAATCGCCTAAATAATGTGCAATATCTGTTTCTATTTGCTTATGATGACCCAGATCTTAAACATTGTTCTTTGTGTTGATGTTTAGGTGGTGCTTCTGCTGCATAAAGTAAGCAGTAACTTTACTGAAAGTCTTACGGTAGGGTAGTGTGTTCTTTAGATTCAGGAAGAGTAAGGAAGAAGCAGAACTAGAATCAAATTAGTTTGTGCCATAGATTAGAAGTATCATTCAATTCCTGTTCACTATAAAGAAGAAGAGAGAGAAACTGATTTAAAAAAAAGGTTGGATTCTAAAACAGTGCATTCCATCAGATGATGACAAAAAGTCACATCAGATCGAGATAGTTTGTGCATAAAATAAAATAACCTAAAGCTTTTTTTAATTAAGTGTCTCTAACTGCAGATAACTGAGATTCTGTGCAAATTGTGTAGCTTTCCTCAGCCTTCCTTCCTGGTTGCCAGGGACCTCTGGAGCCGACCTTCAACACTCTGCATCCGTGTTCCCGTTCCCGTTGAGTGGGTTGGGCCCTGCGGAAAGGCTGGGAGAGAGTGAGGCATGCGTGTCCGACTCCACACTCAGCCTGGGGTTAGGCTGGCTGACTCCGTTGGACTGTGGTGCCCATTTCTCAGGCTTCTGCTTCTCAGGCTCCTCCCCACTGTTGGAACACACAACAAGGGTGAGCAAGTCCTCCTTCGAAAGTCCTTGATATTTTTGTACATGTATTTTACACCAACAAAGTCTTTGAAAGAATCCTTTTGTTTGAAAATAAGCAATTGCCCCCTTAGATGTACATTACCTGACAATGCATCCATTGGTGACCGGTGCCTCAGAGTAGGCCTCTTTCTCAGACAGAGAGGTACGGGACCTCCTGTCCTGTCAGGACCCTGCTTGGGGCTCTTGGCCAGAGTCTGACCTGCGCCTGGCTGCTACAGCTGGGCCGGGGCCCCTTCCGCTGGGGGAGGCTGGCTCTCTGGGGCTCTGCCCAGGCCCTGGCCCTACAGGCCCCTCTGGCTCTTTGCCTGAGCTGTCGGAGCTGTGGGAGCTCTGGCTGTGCCTCCCATTCAGGCTGTCAGAGGAGGAGACCTTGCTTATTTGTCCGTCCCTGCTCTCATCTGAGGGAGCGAGACAAAGGGGGTTAGTAGGGACATGATGTAAGAGAACAGCATGTCCACTCTCTCTGTGGGTTATTATCTCCAGTAGATTACTATATGATCTAGGAGCATTAACAATCAGATGTTTGACTGGCATTTCACAAAGTAAACAGTAATGCAAGCTTTTACCAACCACACTGTAGGCCTAACATCTAACCACAGGGTCAGTACACTGTAGGCCTATCATCTAACCACAGGTTCAGTACACTCGATTGTCCCTGGACATATTTCAAAGGCAAAGATATTCTAAGAACTGGATACAAAAACTGCACTGCATAATTTTTATTGAATTCACAACACGTGAATGTGGCTCACCACTAATGAATCGTGACATCATGCATGCCCTGGCCTATAGTTTAATGGTTAGAGTACTGTATGTGATCATGGCAGGGTCTATTGAGCCCTCTGGTGGGGATATGGAGAATAGTCAAGGCTGGAATGGGCATCTCTTTTTCACCAGGCCACTCATATAGTCTGTATATACCTATCAGTGGCGGTTGGTGCCGTTTAAGATGAAGGAGAATGCAAAAATGTTTTATGAGCATGGCCTTATTTCTATTAATTCTGTCATTCATATTCCATTCACCCAGCTCAATGTAACATCAATAGGTTTAGGCTACTACATGATACGCCAATATTCCCTGTACCCATCATGAGGTTGCTACAACCTAGCCTATCAATTAAAGTTTACAATGTAGGTGCACACAGGTCGAGAGAATTTTGAGTAATCAAGGTGACAGACAGTGACACATTCAATACCACCTTGCACATTCTTGCCTGCATCTAGCTGATCTAGGGTGTAATCATTAGTCCAACAGTTGCAAATGAGAGTTTCTACTAGACAAATTAAGGTGTGTTCATCCCCGTTTTGTTCCGTTTAAGAAACGTTTTTTCAACAGAATCGGTGGAATGAATACACCCCTGATCACACGCAAACACAGTTCACTTTCATAGCAGCCACGTTAAAAACAGCATGATCCCTTTGCTCGTTGTATATATAATTCCTTCTCGCATCTACGCGCTCGCCTCCTCTCACCTATTCCATTTGCTTGTGGACTTCAGTGCACAACACATCAGCTGTCTGTGACCAGGCGGAAAAACCTTTCCAAGCCAAACCTTTATATCATGACCACTAACCACTACACACAGCCTACATCGTTGTCACGTCCTAGTCAACTAGACCAACTAGAACTAACGCGTTAGTAAACCCGCTACAATCATGCAGTACAGTGTACAGTCAGAAAGCAGTTTAGCATATACACCGGCGGGCGCCGGTGGCAATAAATTTATAAAACCAAAAGCTTACCTTGACTTGGAAGAGTTCCAGTGTTGGATAGCCATAGCCAGCTAGCTAGCATAGCACCCCTCTCTGTTTGAGCCGTGTGTTTGAGTAGACTAAACTAGCTAGCTGCATTTGCTAGCTAAGTAAGTAAAAGTGAGAGAAAAAAAAGAAATATAGCTAGCTCTCTCTCTCTCTCTTGCTTCTCCTTCATTTTTGAAGAAATTAATTTGTTCAAAACGGTTCAACTATTTTCTTTCTCTCCCTTTGAGTCAACTACTCACCACATTTTATGTGCTGCAGTGCTAGCTAGCTGTAGCTTATACTTTCAGTACTAGATTCATTCTCTGATCCTTTGATTGGGTGGACAACATGTCAGTTCATGCTGCAAGAGCTCTGATAGGTTAGAGGACGTCCTCTGGAAGTTGTCTTTATTACTGTGTATGTCTATGGAAGGGGGTGAGAACCATGAGCCTCCTAGGTTTTGTATTGAAGTCAATGTACCCAGAGGAGGACAGAAGCTAGCTGTCCTCCGGCTACACCATGGTGCTACCCTTCAGAGTGCTGCTGAAGCTACTGTAGACCTTCAATGCAAAACAGTGTGTTTTAATAAATTATTTGGTGACGTGAATATGTTTAGTATAGTTTTATCTTTGTTTCACTATTTACATTTGAATGAAATTCACTGAGGTGGATGGTCCTCCCCTTCCTCCTCTGAGGAGCCTCCACTGACACCCATTTTAGGAGAATGAAGAAAGCCGAACAAACAAACGAATGGTGTTGTTACCTCCTTCTCCAGAGTCGCAGGCCTGTTTACGTCTCCTCCTAAGAATGACCTCCAGCTCACTGCTGACAGGGCTCTTCCCTGAGGGGGACGGGACCGACTCCTGAGACCCCCGACTGGGACTCTTCTTCACCGTCTCCTGGGGGTCCAGAAACACAGACAACATGCTTTACTGTTGGTAACAGATGTAATTATATAAAATATATGTTTCATCACTTCTCAAAAGCATATATGAGCTTTTACAATGTCTTATAATAAGGCTTATATAATAAAAAGAAACAACACTTCATAATAAAGGGGAGTATATATATATATCAAAAACATGGGGGATTGGAAGTGATGCAGACAATTACATTGATAGAAGATACAATCTATCTGCAATATTAAGCTGATCCATCCCCCCACCCAAAAAAAAAAAAAAAAACTATAATTTTTTTTATATATATAAATAAAAACTAAAGAAAAGAGAAAAAACAACTAATAAAAAACAACACTTCATACCAGAATGCCTTTCAGTTCTTCCATGGCACTCTCCTTTGGCAGCTTTTCTTCAATTACTGGAGGTTTCTAGGGGTTGAGTTCAACTAAGTTAATAAACAGGACATAACACACATTTTCTTTTGTGCTCACGCACACATCGCAGCTGGTGTTAGCGTTTATCACATAGCTGGTCTATATTAGAGAGAATAAAATAAAAGCTTGAGGCCATTTTATTGATTTTCTCCTCGGAGCCTGCAAGTTGTCATGGTGATTTTGTCAACCAATATAAAATAAATGAAATCAAAGCAGCAGGCATGTGGTCTTTGTCAGTCTACACTGAGGTAATCCATGGACCATGTTACACAAAGAGAAAGAGCCCATTCCAAAAGCCAAACTGAAGACTGGTTTAAGTAAGAGATTAATAACAGAACAGCTATAATCCATTTCACTCTAGTACCATATGATGTGGATTATCACTGTGATATGGGGGTTGGCATGTCGTTTTTTGTGTGATTTTAGGATCCAGAGAGACTTCACTGTCACACAATCGATGTAAAAGTCAATATACTCACTTTTACGGCAACTCTCTTTGGGGAGACGGTCAGTTGATTGGAGAAGATGAGTGGAGAAAAAGGGGAGTAATCAGTCGGAGGACATTAAGTCGTCTATATTTCCACAATTAAACAAAACATGAACTGTTGACCTCTTCACCTTAGTGTCTCCTCCCTTGACAGGCCTCAGAACCACTCCATGTTTAATCCTCTCCATCATCTCATTCACTGCCTTCACTTTGACGTCATCTGAACCTCCTTCTGCACCTCCTTCTGTACCTCCTTCTGCACCTCCATCTACAGGACAAGGAGAGAGACAGAAGGGTTACATGGATAATATGGTAAAGATGTGTGATTTTAAAATAAGAAATTCCTCAATTATGAATGAGTATTTAAATCCTTGATGTTCTATGTTATTCTGGCAGGTGCAGATTTGATTCTCAGTGGTTTCAAACCTACCAGGAGCTTGCTCCAACTTCGGGGATGCCCCCTTTGAACCCTTGGTTGATTTCCTCATAATTGCAATCAGTGAGCTATTGAATGAAGAGAGTAAATTAAATTCAGTATAATTAGACAGATTGGTGATTGGAGCATTCATCTCAAGCCTGTACACAACATAATAAAAGCCTATTGTCTTACCTGAGGGGGTTGCATCGCGATGGGGGAGGGGGTGGAGGAGGGGGAGGGGGTGGTGGTGGGGGTGGAGGGGGCTGGGGAACAGGGGCGGGGGGTGGGGCGGTCCCTGGTTCAGGGCCTGGTGAGGGCACAGTGTTCTTCTGGACCTGCAGCAGCTCTTGCACTAAAGATATACAAGACAGGTGTGTTACATGAAGCCTGGGTCACCAGTCACTTTAACATGAGAAGATGGACAACTATCTATTCTACTGGTACCCGCTGGAGACGTATTCTTTCAAAAAGCTATAGGAATAAAAGCTGTGGTTACCCACGGTGTGATGTGACTGACGGCCTGTTGGTGTTCTCCTCACCTCTTTTCTCCAGGTCACAGTTCTTCTTCTCTACGTCCTGCAGACGTCCCTCTGTCTCTCTCTTCTCTTCCTCTACCAGTTCCAGCTGGCTCTGCAGCTCTGCTGTCTGCTGTTTCAACGTGTCCTCCTGTAGCTCAGCCTCCAGAGCCTTCACCTACATGGAGATGGATGGAGACCACCCAGTGTGTTTGAGATTCAGATTGACTATATTTCAGTTGGACTGTGCAGAATCACTGATCTACAAACCGCTTTGCACCCCAAATAACTACTCGTTATGTGATCAAGATTAGCAATTCTGCTTTTTGCCTTCAGCGTTTTTTTAATTCCAAGCACCACAAGGCGAGGCCATATAGGAGTGTGTGTTGATGATCACTCTACCGAGGACGTTGTGAAGTGCTGTGTAAGAGAAGGCCCTTGTGATTAAACATATTGATTTGACTGAAGCCCTCCTGTTGTATCCTCCTTGTTCTTCTGAAACAACACACCCTCTCCTCTCCCTTGCCAAGGATGGGAATTTTGGGGCAAAGCTCATCAGCACACTAAAACAGACAGTCTCAGCAGTCTGGCACAGAGCAGGGAGTAGAAGTAGTGGGATCAGATTGTCTACATGGTCCTCAGAAAGATCAGCTTCTCTCCATGGTCCTCAGAAAGATCAGCTTGTCTCCATGGTCCTCAGAAAGATCAGCTTGTCTACATGGTCCTCAGAAAGATCAGCTTGTCTCCATGATCCTCAGAAAGATCAGCTTGTCTCCATGGTCCTCAGAAAGATCAGCTTGTCTACATGGTCCTCAGAAAGATCAGCTTGTCTCCATGGGCCTCAGAAAGATCAGCTTGTCTCCATGGTCCTCAGAAAGATCAGCTTGTCTCCATGGTCCTCAGAAAGATCAGCTTGTCTCCATGGGCCTCAGAAAGATCAGCTACAGAAGCTAGATCAGTCAGACGTCTGTCGCCCGTCCGTCCGTCTGACTGACTGACTGACTGTCTGTCTGTCTGTCTGTCTGTCTGTCTGTCTGTCTGTCTGTCTGTCTGTCTGTCTGTCTGTCTGTCTGTCTGTCTGTCTGTCTGTCTGTCTGTATATCTATCTATCTATCTATCTATATATCTGTCTATCTACCTACCTACCTATCTACCTACCTTCTGGTGATGCAGCAGTCTCTCATGCTCCAGAGTCTTGGTAACATTAGCCACGTCCTCCAGAGCCTTGATGAGCTGAAGGCTGGGGTCAGCGTTCTGCAGCAGGATCATACTCTGTCTGTTAGCCTCTTTCTGCTTCACCAACATCTGTAGGAGGAGAGAGAAGGAAGGAAGGAGGGAAGGAAGGAGGGAGTGAGGGAATGATCAGGTGTTTTAAAAGACAAGAGACCCAGGTTCTCCAGATATGGAAGCATTTGACTGTAGCATGAAGCAGTAAGTAAGCAGGCTTGTTTTTATCTAAATGGTCTACAATAACCACAGCCTGCATTCTCCAGAGAACCCCCTCTCCCTCTCCAGCCTCAGGCCAAGCAGCGTAACCGATAACAGTACACCCCACTACTGTGGCTGTGGTTCCCCCAAGCATATGTGTGTCCTTCAAAGCAGTGCTGAGTCTGTGCTTCTGCTGCTCCTCAGTCCCCAGACTAGGACTAGTGCTGCTCCTCAGTCCCCAGACTATGACTAGTGCTGCTCCTCAGTCCCCAGACTAGGACTAGTACTGCTGCTCAGTCCCCAGACTATGACTAGTGCAGCTCCTCAGTCCCCAGACTAGGACTAGTGCTGCTCCTCAGTCCCCAGACTAGGACTAGTACTGCTCCTCAGTCCCCAGACTAGGACTAGTGCTTCTGCTGCTGCTCAGTCCCCTGCCTGCCTGTCTGTCTGTCTACCTCGTGGGCGTAGGTCTCAGCCTTCACCCTCAGGCTCTGCTCCAAATCCAGCTGCTCCTTCATCTCCTCATACTCTGTAGTAGCCATCACAGACACTGAGAGAGAAGAGATGTAGGAGAGAGAGGAGAGAGTAGAGAGAGAGATAGAGGAGAGCGAGAGAGAGAGAGAGAGAGAGAGAGAGAGAAGACGCCCGAGATAGATGCGGCGAGAAGGCTCGATCAGATCGAGATCTATAGGATAGATGCTATCTATAGAGATCTCTGCTCTCTCTCTACTCTCGTCGCGCGCCACTCTCGCTCGCGCGCCGTTTTCCCAACCGTAAAACAACTAAAACCAGCCACTCAACGGACGGTCTGTGTGGCCTAACCCCTCTCTTACCATATAATAATATAATATAATATGCCATTTAGCAGACGCTTTTATCCAAAGCGACTTACAGTCATGCGTGCATACATTTTTTTTGTGTATGGGTGGTCCCGGGGATCGAACCCACTACCTTGGCGTTACAAGCGCCGTGCTCTACCAGCTGAGCTACAGAGGATGATGTCTCTCAACCATGATGATGTCTCTCAACCATGATGATGTCTCTCAACCATGATGATGTCTCTCAACCATGATGATGTCTCTCTACCATGATGATGTCTCTCAACCATGATGATGTCTCTCTACCATGATGATGTCTCTCTACCATGATGATGTCTCTCTACCATGATGATGTCTCTCAACCATGATGATGTCTCTCTGCCATGATGATGTCTCTCTGCCATGATGATGTCTCTCTGCCATGATGATGTCTCTCTGCCATGATGATGTCTCTCAACCATGATGATGTCTAGATGTGTAGTGGATAGACTGTCCCGTGTAAGTCCCCTGTAGCTCAGTTGGTAGAGCATGGCGCTTGCAACGCCAGGGTTGTGGGTTCGTTTCCCACGGGGGGCCAGTATGAAAATGTATGCACTCACTTAACTGTAAGTCACTCTGGATAAGAGCGTCTGCTAAATGACTAAAATGTAAATGTAACTCACCTCTATTGATATGAACACAGTGGGTAGTGGGTAGACTGTCATGTAACTCACCTCTATTGAAACTCTTGATGGTCTTGCTTTGCTGCTCGATGGTTTTGCGAAGCTCCTTCATTTCAGCCTATAAAAACATGTAGAACAGAGTAGAAAGGCTGGTAAAACATAAACAGTCAAGGTTTATGGTGCTTCAACACGACTGAGAATATAGTATACTGTATATAAAAACTATGAGAACATCTGAATACAGATATTCTGCATTCGTGCTCACATAATAGAATGAAAGTCCTCTCACCAGCCCTTGGAATCCCACCCAAAACAGACAAGAGACACACTTTCTGTGCCTGTCTGAGACAGACCTCCTGTGAGAGTTATTGATTACCAGGCCTGGTAGTTGGTACTCACCAGGGCGGTTAGCTCTTCAACCTGTCTCTGCTGCTCCTGAAGCTGACAGGCAAGCCACTTCTTCTCCTCCAGCAAACTGCCCACTGTCTCCTGGAGCTCTGGAGCGGAATAAAGAGGTTTCCTGGGTGACACTACGTGATGACATCTCTTCACTACTTCTAATATTCTGACATACAGCTCCTATTACTCTAACATTTGGACATTTTAACATGTTTTATCTTGCTACTAGAAAGACCATAAGAAAAAAAAAAAACAGAAAGGTGAATCCAAATATGCTGTACAGGAACAACATAATTTAATTGCAGACGGTCCATAACCCTGTCAAGACAAATCAAGACAAAGGGTGTTATATAGCGTTGACATGCTGTTGGTACTGTCTGTACGGGTCAGGGCTGGTGTCCTGTTGGTACTGTCTGTACGGGTCAGGGCTGGTGTCCTGTTGGTACTGTCTGTACGGGTCAGGGCTGGTGTCCTGTTGGTACTGTCTGTACGGGTCAGGGCTGGTGTCCTGTTGGTACTGTCTGTACGGGTCAGGGCTGGTGCCCTGTTGGTACTGTCTGTACGGGTCAGGGCTGGTGTCCTGTTGGTACTGTCTGTACGGGTCAGGGCTGGTGTCCTGTTGGTACTGTCTGTACGGGTCAGGGCTGGTGTCCTGTTGGTACTGTCTGTACGGGTCAGGGCTGGTGTCCTGTTGGTACTGTCTGTACGGGTCAGGGCTGGTGTCCTGTGTGTCTGTCTGTGTACGGGTCTGGTAGCTACCTTTGACCTGCTGTTGGTACTGTCTGTACGGGTCAGGGCTGGTGTCCTGTGTGTCTGTCTCCTCTTCCAGAGGAATGCAGTCTGTAATGCTAGGCAGCATCTCATCCAGACAGGGTCGAGACGACAGGCTCAGATACTTCAGCTTCCTGTTCTCACTGTTCAACTGGGGGACAAACAACACACACTGGATTATATGTGATAAAGACAGATGATATGAAGCTGATAACAGAGGCCAATAGCACACCGCAACATACACTGATTTGGCATGTTGTCTGTTTGTAATATTGTAAGACGTGTATGTACTGTAGCCTACACATCAGAGGCTTATGGATATAAACATTATGCACACAAACATGTAGAAATGACCAACATTCTAATGATCTCTAGTCTAGATCAACTGAATCACCTCCAAAGGCCCAGTGGGCCCAGTGGGTAATGGTATACCATTAATATGGTGTTAACTACTAAGTCACGCAGTGTCAGTCTCTTGCCTTGGTAGCAAGGGCCTCAGCATTCTCTCTGCAGGATTTCTCTATCTCCAGCTGAGTCTGCAGAACGCTCACCTCCTCGATCACCATCTGGGAAACTGGAATACAAAAAACATCACATTGCAGTTTGTTTTATTGTTTTATGGTACGATTTTACTCATATTTTAAAGAATGAATGAATGAATGAATGAATGACTGACTGAATGAATGACTGAATGACTGAATGAATGACTGACTGAATGAATGAATGACTGAATGAATGACTGACTGAATAAATGAACGACTGACTGAATAAATGAATGACTGACTGAATGAATGAATGGGGGGCAACATGTCTATTTTGTTACTCTATTTCCCCTTCTCCATATTGAGCTATTCAGGATCACTCCATTTCCCCTTCTCCATATTGAGCTATTCAGTTTCACTCTATTTCCCCTTCTCCTAATTGAGCTATTTCGTTTCACTCTATTTCCCCTTCTCCTTATTGAGCTATTCAGTTTCACTCTATTTCTCCTTCTCCATATTGAGCTATTCAGTTTCACTCTATTTCCCCTTCTCCTTATTGAGCTATTTCGTTTCACTCTATTTCCCCTTCTCCTTATTGAGCTATTCAGTTTCACTCTATTTCCCCTTCTCCTCATTGAGCTATTCAGTTTCACTCTATTTCCCCTTCTCCTTTTTGAGCTATTCAGTTTCACTCTATTTCCCCTTCTCCTCATTGAGCTATTCAGTTTCACTCTATTTCCCCTTCATATTGAGCTATTCAGTTTCACTCTATTTCCCCTTCTCCTTATTGAGCTATTCAGTTTCACTCTATTTCCCCTTCTCCTCATTGAGCTATTCAGTTTCACTCTATTTCCCCTTCTCCTTTTTGAGCTATTCAGTTTCACTCTATTTCCCCTTCTCCTCATTGAGCTATTCAGTTTCACTCTATTTCCCCTTCATATTGAGCTATTCAGTTTCACTCTATTTCCCCTTCTCCTTTTTGAGCTATTCAGTTTCACTCTATTTCCCCTTCTCCTTATTGAGCTATTCAGTTTCACTCTATTTCCCCTTCTCCTCATTGAGCTATTCAGTTTCACTCTATTTCCCCTTCTCCTTATTGAGCTAATCAGTTTCACTCTATTTCCCGTTCATATTGAGCTATTCAGTTTCACTCTATTTCTCCTTCTCCATATTGAGCTATTCAGTTTCACTCTATTTCCCCTTCTCCATATTGAGCTATTCAGTTTCACTATATTTCCCCTCTCCTTATTGAGCTATTCAGTTTCACTCTATTTCCCCTTCTCCATATTGAGCTATTCAGTTTCACTCTATTTCCCCTTCTCCTTATTGAGCTATTCAGTTTCACTCTATTTCCCCTTCTCCTTCTTGAGCTATTCAGTTTCACTCTATTTCCCCTTCTCCTTATTGAGCTATTCAGTTTCACTCTATTTCCCCTTCTCCCTATTGAGCTATTCAGTTTCACTCTATTTCCCCTTCTTTCCATTGAGCTATTCAGTTTCACTCTATTTCCCCTTCTCCTCATTGAACTATTCAGTTTCACTCTATTTCCTCTTCTCCTTATTGAGCTATTCAGTTTCACTCTATTTCCCCTTCTCCCCATTGAGCTATTCAGTTTCACTCTATTTCCCCTTCTCCATATTGAGCTATTCAGTTTCACTCTATTTCCCCTTCTCCTTATTGAGCTATTCAGTTTCACTCTATTTCCCCTTCTTTCCATTGAGCTATTCAGTTTCACTCTGTTTCCCCTTCTCCATATTGAGCTATTCAGTTTCACTCTATTTCCCCTTCTCCTTATTTAGCTATTCAGTTTCACTCTATTTCCCCTTCTTTCCATTGAGCTATTCAGTTTCACTCTATTTCCCCTTCTCCTTATTGAGCTATTCAGTTTCACTCTATTTCCCCTTCTCCATATTGAGCTATTCAGTTTCACTCTATTTCCCCTTCTCCTTATTGAGCTATTCAGTTTCACTCTATTTCCCCTTCTCCTTATTGAGCTATTCAGTTTCACTCTATTTCCCCTTCTCCATATTGAGCTATTCATTTTCACTCTATTTCCCCTCTCCTTATTGAGCTATTCAGTTTCACTCTATTTCCCCTTCTTTCCATTGAGCTATTCAGTTTCACTCTATTTCCCCTTCTCCTCATTGAACTATTCAGTTTCACTCTATTTCCCCTTCTCCTTATTGAGCTATTCAGTTTCACTCTATTTCCCCTTCTCCCCATTGAGCTATTCAGTTTCACTCTATTTCCCCTTCTCCATATTGAGCTATTCAGTTTCACTCTATTTCCCCTTCTCCTTATTGAGCTATTCAGTTTCACTCTATTTCCCCTTCTTTCCATTGAGCTATTCAGTTTCACTCTGTTTCCCCTTCTCCATATTGAGCTATTCAGTTTCACTCTATTTCCCCTTCTCCTTATTGAGCTATTCAGTTTCACTCTATTTCCCCTTCTCCCCATTGAGCTATTCAGTTTCACTCTATTTCCCCTTCTCCATATTGAGCTATTCAGTTTCACTCTATTTCCCCTTTTCCTTATTGAGCTATTCAGTTTCACTATATGTCCCCTTCTCCATATTTTAATTATTCAGTTTCACTCTATTTCCCCTTCTCCTTATTGAGCTATTCAGTTTCACTCTATTTCCCCTTCTCCTTATTGAGCTATTCAGTTTCACTCTATTTCCCCTTCTCCTTATTGAGCTATTCAGTTTCACTCTATATCCCCTTCATATTGAGCTATTCAGTTTCACTCTATTTCCCCTTCTCCATATTGAGCTATTCAGTTTCACTCTATTTCCCCCTCTCCCCATTGAGATATTCAGTTTCACTCTATTTCCCCTTCTCCATATTGAGCTATTCAGTTTCACTCTATTTCCCCTTCTCCTCATTGAGCTATTCAGTTTCACTCTATTTCCCCTCTCCTTATTGAGCTATTCAGTTTCACTCTATTTCCCCTTCTCCTTATTGAGCTATTCAGTTTCACTCTATTCCCCTTCTCCATATTGAGCTATTCAGTTTCACTCTATTTCCCCTTCTCCATATTGAGCTATTCAGTTTCACTCTATTTCCCCTCTCCTTATTGAGCTATTCAGTTTCACTCTATTTCCCCTTCTTTCCATTGAGCTATTCAGTTTCACTCTATTTCCCCTTCTCCCCATTGAGCTATTCAGCTTCACTCTATTTCCCCTTCTCCTTAATAAGCTATTCCGTTTCACTCTATTTCCCCTTCTCCCCATTGAGCTATTCAGTTTCACTCTATTTCCCCTTCTCCATATTGAGCTATTCAGTTTCACTCTATTTCCCCTTCTCCTTATTGAGCTATTCAGTTCCACTCTATTTCCCCTTCTTTCCATTGAGCTATTCAGTTTCACTCTATTTCCCATTCTCCATATTGAGCTATTCAGTTTCACTCTATTTCCCCTTCTCCTTATTGAGCTATTCAGTTTCACTCTATTTCCCCTTCTCCTTATTGAGCTATTCAGTTCACTCTATTTCCCCTTCTCCTCATTGAGCTATTCAGTTTCACTCTATTTCCCCTTCTCCTTATTGAGCTATTCAGTTCACTCTATTTCCCCTTCTCCTCATTGAGCTATTCAGTTTCACTCTATTTCCCCTTCTCCTTATTGAGCTATTCAGTTTCACTATATTTCCCCTTCTCCCCATTGAGCTATTCAGTTTCACTCTATTTCCCCTTCTCCTTAATGAGCTATTCAGTTTCACTCTATTTCCCCTTCTCCTTATTGAGCTATTCAGTTTCACTCTATTTCCCCTTCTCCTTATTGAGCTATTCAGTTTCACTCTATTTCCCCTTCTCCATATTGAGCTATTCAGTTTCACTCTATTTCTCCTTCTCCATATTGAGCTATTCAGTTTCACTCTATTTCCCCTTCTCCCCATTTAACTATTCAGTTTCACTCTATTTCCCCTTCTCCATATTGAGCTATTCAGTTTCACTCTATTTCCCCTTCTCCTTAATATGCCATTTAGCAGACGCTTTTATCCAAAGCGACTTACAGTCGTGCGTGCATACATTTTTGTGTATGGGTGGTCGCGGGGATCGAACCCACTACCTTGGCGTTACAAGCGCCGTGCTCTACCAGCTGAGCTACAGAGGACCACAATAGTCCTTATTGAGCTATTCAGTTTCACTCTATTTCCCCTTCTTTCCATTGAGCTATTCAGTTTCACTCTATTTCCCCTTCTCCATATTGAGCTATTCAGTTTCACTATATTTCCCCTTCTCCTTATTGAGCTATTCAGTTTCACTTTATTTCCCATTCTTTCCATTGAGCTATTCAGTTTCACTCTATTTCCCCTTCTCCATATTGAGCTATTCAGTTTCACTATATTTCCCCTTCTCCCCATTGAGCTATTCAGTTTCACTCTATTTACCCTTCTCCCCATTGAGTTATTCAGTTTCACTCTATTTCCCCTTCTCCTTAATGAGCTATTCAGTTTCACTCTATTTCCCCTTCTCCTTATTGAGCTATTTAGTTTCACTCTATTTCCCCTTCTCCATATTGAGCTATTCAGTTTCACTCTATTTCCCCTTCTCCACATTGAGCTATTCAGTTTCACTCTATTTCCCCTTCTCTCCATTGAGCTATTCAGTTTCACTCTATTTCCCCTTCTCCTTATTGAGCTATTCAGTTTAACTCTATTTCCCCTTCTCCCCATTGAGCTATTCAATTTCACTCTATTTCCCCTTCTCCATATTGAGCTATTCAGTTTCCCTCTATTTCCCCTTCTCCATATTGAGCTATTCAGTTTCACTCTATTTCCCCTTCTCCATATTGAGCTATTCAGTTTCACTCTATTTCACCTTCTCCTTATTGAGCTATTCAGTTTCACTCTATTTCCCCTTCTCCTTATTGAGCTATTCAGTTTCACTCTATTTCCCCTTCTCCTTATTGAGCTATTCAGTTTCACTCTATTTCCCCTTCTCCATATTGAGCTATTCAGTTTCACTCTATTTCCCCTTCTCCATATTGAGCTATTCAGTTTCACTCTATTTCCCCTTCTCCTTATTGAGCTATTCAGTTTCACTTTATTTCCCCTTCATATTGAGCTATTCAGTTTCACTCTATT